TTTTCAGGAGACGTGAGAGAGGGAAGAAGAAAAGTGCATTTACACAATAAAGTTCATTTAAATGTGGATGTTGCTGTTTTGGTGAGCTATGTGAGGAAAATATAGAAACTTATTAATTGATTTAGAAAATAATTTAAAATAGTGTTTATCAAGATTATAGTACAAAATTAGAAATTGTATATTTATCTATATTTTTAAATAAATGTTTCATATGCTGTTTCTTCTAACATTTTATCTGTGTCAGTCTTCAGTAAACTTGTGTAAAAGTAGTTTTTGCTTGCTTCCTTAAAGGAACTTTATAGTTGTGGCAGAGATCACAATATCCTTTCGTGGATACCAGCTTTTCAAGATGCAGACCTTGATGACACTTCTGAAAGGGTAATTAATTTGTTTGAACTTTTAATGAAAGTTATATTTGGAGGGAGGAGGAAGGGAAGTGAGGGGTTGCAAATTACATATGAAGTATGTGTTTCACCACCAAAACTTGTAGAAATTCCTAATTAGGAGGAGAATCACCTGTTATTTCTGTGCAATCTTTTGATTGTTCTGGGGTTTTGAGAGGCCATTGTCTTTCGCAGTCTAGTAAAATCTTTTGCAGGCTTCTAGCTTCTCACTTAGGTAAAACTAGTACTTCTCATTTGGCTATCAGTCTTTCAACTTCTGCTGTAGCCTCCCTAATTTCCATATTGTTTTCTGTAATTTATGCTATTTTGGGATTGGAAAGGTGTTAAAGATTGTGTTTTAAATTGTTTAAGAATATACTGTGTACTAAACATTAAGGCTAGAGATGTCCTACTTAATACCCAAATATTTTTGATGCAGAAATACAATAAAGAAGATTCTAAATGAGCTTATTTTAGTGTTATATTTAGTGTTTATACTGTTAAACTATACCTGCAGTTTGACAATGTTGTAGATGAGCATTGCCTCTGAAAGAAGCAGTTCTGCTGTCCAAAGGCCACTAGTTCCTGCTCTCCCTTGTATACTAGGACAGCTATTTGAGTGCTGGGATGACCAGAATCTGAACCCAGGATAGAAGTAAACAACAAAACTCCTACCCCACATCAGAACTGATTCTGTGCACTGCATAGCTGCACAGACATTTTAGCCTGACTCTAGGGAGGCTAAAGTTTGTTGGATGTGAATAGAGGTCAGGACTACTTTTTGAGACAGTATGCTGGGCCAGGGAAGTTATGAATTAAAACCAGTGACAGAAAACAAACACAGTAATATCTGTCTGTTATATTTTATGCCAGACATTGGTAAACCTTCCAGTCAGTGCTTCAGATATTTTTGTTGGAATTGGAATTAAATTATGAAAATAAACTACTCTTTATCCAGTCTCTAATTGGCAAAATGGCCCAAAAAGTGGTTTAAAAAAATCCAGTACCCATGAGAGACACTAGTTTGTCTATATAAAGTAATTTAAGAAATGCCTTTTGCATTGCCCTTCTTTGATTTAAATATTTTTAATTAAGCAAACCACTGAGAGAATTTCTATTTTCTTTAGTTTCTGCCTGACCAGCTTTTAAATCCAACATATGAAGATACATGGAGCAGCAGTGATGATGAAGAATGAATTTCAGTTATGTGCTGATTTAAAATTGACATTCAGGCACTGCATTCTCGAACTTTATCTACAGAACTGGATACTGTTGGATTTATTATGACTGGATTTTTGGTACAGTTCTGTCTGAGCAAGTGCTTTCAGAAAAAAGTGTCTACTTTCTGGGTTTCTTGTTATGGTTAAATCTAAGGGATTACCTTTTCATACTTGCTGACTTTTTTACACTTACCCTTTCACATTGGTGTACTTTATTCAATGTTGCACTAATTAAGGTGAAATAAAAGCACTTGGGACCAGCAATTGTTTCTGGTATCAGTAATACATAAGGAGATAATACCTTTGTTTTGAGAGGCATGATACAGAGGATTTTTGCCTGAAGGAGGACTAGCTCAGATACTTCCAGATTATTTTTATCAATGTCTAGATGGAGCAGACTGTGTCCATTTTCAAGTGATTATGTGCTGTGGGACCCAACAGCATTTTCTGCCTGTTACTTGTACTTTCAGTTTTGCATAGGTTTCTCCATAAATGCAGTGTTCAGTTCAGAAGGACATATGGTTGGGATTACCTATTCAAGTATTTATATGCTGAGCCCATCAATTAGTATCTGAATCTGTCCTAAAAAGTTTAAGAATAGAAACTAGTTTAGAGTTTTTGTTGTTCCTGTTAGTAGGCTTTTAAGATCAGTCTTATATATGGATCTCTTACACTTCCCAGCCAGCATTAAAAATTCCTGAACAGAAATAGGCTTGAGGTACAGTACAAGGCAGCGTGTGGATCACATTTCAAGTTAGAAGTATCAAATCTAGTCCTTCAAAACTGTTTTCATCTGAATTTGTGCTCCTAATGCCCGCCTTGTTCTGAAAAGGAGGAGCTTTGTGGTGTTACTGTCTCATTTCAGTCACGGGTTTGTGCTTAAGACATAATGTAGTCATGAATCTAAGAGCTGTCTTAGAGGTTCCTAATAGATGTAGATGCAGCTCTACAGAGAAAAAATTCCTTCCAAAACAGAGCATATGCTAGGATCACAAATTTAAATGAAAGGAGAAAATAGTGTACAAATAAATGAAAAATAAATTATCTGTATAGTGTGTATTGTTTCTGTTATTACTATGCATTTTAGAAGTAATTCACTGTGCTCCCCTATTTGAGTATCTATGCAAAATATAGGCTGTAAGTTTTTATCTCAATTTAGAGTCTAGCATTATAAAATGATACAAAGTGAGGAGTAGGCATATAAAGGGTATCTGAATTTCTAAAAATGTGCTCAGTAAATTATAGAGCTACTTATCAAAGAATTTTTTTTTTTCATTTTTCTTTCAGTCAGTTTTCAGTTATCAGTGATGTGACTATAAATTATGTTGACTTTAAAACAAACAAAAAACCAACTTAGAAAACCCCACCAGCTCTGTGGTGGACTGGGAATGGTATGTAAATGGGAGAGGTAGAAAATTACATTTATTTAAAAAGGTGAGAAATCATAAAAACTAAACCTATAAATAAAAAATGTTTCATTACTTCTCCAGCTTTTTTCAATGCCCTTTCTCAACTGAGTTCCTTTTCCTGTGCTTTGAGTACACAATTACTGAGTTTGGAAGGGACCAATGTCCTTGCTTAAAACATGGTCACCTGAAGCAGGTTGCTCAGGCTTGTGTCCAGTCAAACTTTGAGTATCTCTACAACCTAAAAACCTGTTCCAGTATTTGAGCATTCTTAGAGTAAAACCTTCTTCTTAGGTTTCAATGGAGTTTTCTGTATTTCAATTTTCACCCATTGAGTCTTCTTCCACTGAGAAGAGTTTGACTTTCTCTTCTTTACTCTCCCTTTCCCTGGTGCCATCAGATATTTCTGCACATTGGTGAGATCCTCCTGAGCCTTTTCTTGAGGCACTCCTAATAAGAAGGATGGCCTCCCTCATCCTGCTGACATCTTTCTTCCTAGCTGTCTTCCTGGAAACCCAGGATGTTTTTGGCTGCCTTTGCTGCATGGGCACATTGCTGGCATATGGTCACTTTAATGTCTTGCAGGAGAGGCTTCTGGTAAGGGCAATTAAAAACGTGTCACCTGGGCAAGAATCCAGGTGCATTCCACAGTCCAGCACTTGCAGACCTTCCATTCTCTTGGTACTAGCCAGTATCTCAAACACTAATTTATTTGAAAATTCTACTCTGAATAGTGGCATATATGTTATGATTTTCTTCAGTACTTCTAGTTTTCTGTAGATGTAAACTTATTTTTTTTTCCTAGGAAAATAAAAGTATTTTTTTGTTTCTGCTGCATTCTTATGGTGGCTGTACTTAATTACTAAAGTGTTGGTGTCTTGCAAATGAAAAATTTAAAGGACACTGAAGGTATGCAGTATATTATTTTTCACTGGAAACAACTAAGTAAACCAACAGTGTCAGGCACAGCTGTTCATCTCTTGCTTGTGTGCAAGTTAAATGTGATAATTAAATCTTACATCCCCTTCATTTATGCCCATTCTACTTCTATGCTTATAGCATGTATATTTATAGTATCAGAGCTCTTTCAGAACCAGAAATGCAGGAAGTAGAGTATTATAGACTTAATTGCACTTTCCATCCTTATGTCAGTAAAAAAAAACCACATTTGAAAATCCAGTTGGGTGCCAAAAGGGGTGCTGTATTCATGTTGAAATTAAGTTAGTCACTTGAGAGGCAACTAGCTGATTCTGAGTTCCTGTTAAAAACAGTAAGGAAGTTAAAAGTTTAGAGAGCTTAGGCTGTGATGGACTACAGTCTTACTGCAGTAGCAGTACAGGGATTTAGTAGTCACACTTTACATCAGAATATGTAGAAAAGTGCTTTCATCTTTACAGGCTGTTCTAGGACCTGACTCTTGCTTAGAAGAATTACTTCGCCTGCAAAGGCAGAGACTTTCATTTGAGCTTTATACAGCAGGTACCAAAGAAGGAAAAGAATTTATTTGTTCTTACAAGACATCAAAGAATTTCCTTTCCTTTCTAGCCTAAGGAAACAATGGCGGTGGGAGTCAGTTCGAGCCAGCCCAGCTGAAGAAATCCTGAGAGCCTAATAAAAGCCGCCTTTAGCTTGAGTGAAAGTTGAGTTCTACAGGGACAGCAAAATAGGACTCTGATTATTTATGTCTAGGTTATGATGCTCAGAAAAAACCTGGTTCTTTTTCTCTTCTGTACAGAGACCTGGAAGAAAGCATTAGCACATGAGAATTTAAATATGGTTAACTCCCAAGTGTTGGGAAGAACAAGTTTCTTTTCGTTTTCTCTGACTCTGGTATACAAAGACAAGACTAAAAATGTAGGGATTTGTTTGCCACTTTTTTTTTTGCATTGTTTGGATTTGTAGTCATGTCAGGCTCCTTGCTGCATAAAACATCTGGTTTTTTTATCAAGAATGAGTTCCTTATAGGCTCAGTCAACTTAGGGCCCAGAATTGAAGACCCCTGTTATTGTGAAGTTGAAAAATTCTTAGATTTGGAAGCATCAGTAGAATTGTCTGTTGGGTTTTTTTCCCCTTCTTGCGTTATAGTACTTACTGTGCCCTGAGTGGAGAAACAGAGCTATATATGTCTATGCACACAAGATATAAGTATATTTAAAATACCACTGCTTTGGCCCATTAGAGGATAGTTCTTGGTTTTCTTCCTACCTCATTTTAAATGCAGGTAAAGGTCTAAGTGTATGCAGTCGAGAATTGTATGCTCTTCAGTGCATATTGGCCTAGCATCTGCCACAATGAATGAGTAAGCCTACTGTTAGCTTAGTACAAGTAAAGTGTGAGATACATAGTCAAGTTATGGGCATATCAGCTAAACCATGGAAACTGTCCAGATAAATATTTTTGGTGTGTAAAACATAGACTACTTTAACTGTTTTTAGTTCCTATAAAGAGCTTGAGTATTGGCCATGTGCTTAGCCACTGAGATGTGTGCCTAGGTTTGACACCTGAGAGACATTCTTGAAGGCAGTATATTGGTTTCAGCAGACAGCAGTTGCTGCTTATAATACCCAACTAAACAAAAGTATGTGAAACGGATCAATGAAGCTTTTTGTGTAGTTAAAGCTGAGTTACGAAATTTACATGTCTTCTTCCATCACCCCTTTGTTTTGTTTTCTTTTAGTCTTATTTTATAAAAACAGTGGGAATGGAGGATAAAAAGGGGTGACTGAATGGCCTGGAATTCAGGCAGGTGCATAACTACTCCCTAAGCTTCATCCATTCTAATCATATCTGCATGCTGTGTAGTCAGCCTTACCCACCAGCCCACACATGCTGCTGAGATGACAGCTAACCAATGTTATTCACCATGCTGGCAACCCTCAACCACCCCATCCTGCCAAATTCCACCAAGCCCAAGAGACAGTAATAAAAATATTTGAGGCTATTAAGGAAGGTTTCTATTTACATAGGAAAGAATTTTTTAATTGCATAGGCATATAGCTTTGTTCTTTATTTTCATTTTATCACTATTTTCTTTCAAATTAAGGCAGAAAGAAACAAGGTATTTTTAATCACACGTTTTAGCTCTGTGCTAAGGAGGTTTCCAGTCAGTCACTGAGGTCTGTACATTTGGAAGGTTATAAACCCACCCTTTTCTTGCAGCTGTGGGACAGAGATGCATCTGCAATCCTAAACAGGTTTTAGAGTAAATTTCCTCATGCCAAATTGGAGATTAAAATCAGAAGTTTAAATCAGTACAGCCTGTTATTTTTACAGCCAGATGTTTGTAATCTAGAGTAACAAGTTTAAGCAAGAATGGGATAATTTATTCAGCAGCAAAAATAATATGCCTTTGTTTAATACGAAATAGATTAATGTGGGGGGGGAAAGACTGGGTTATAAAAACATTTTTTGCTGTTCTCAGCAGCCACATTTGAAAGATATAAGCATTTTCCTCTTACTGCAAAGTATTCATTTAACAGGATTCTTTCTTTATATTAGTTACAAGTCTTAGCCTCCAGCAAAATTATTAAAACATTCTAAGAAATTTTGGATTGATATTTTTGGAAAAGT